AAATTAAGAGTGAATTCAGACGGGATGGAGATACGATCAGTGAGGGATTGTGTCCCTAGTTGAATGGGGGTTGTACTCACTGTAATGGAATCATATTGACTGTGGATATTAATTGATGCTGTGTGGTCACTGTGTTGTCACTAGAGGCTTTGTCAATTGTTAGAAATACCTTTTTATCAGCTTTGATTAATAAACTTACTGCAGCTCTCTGAGATAGCCTAGATAGTTATGCATGTTCTGGAAACTACCCACTTAAAGCACTGAGCTGAGCACTGTGCTGTATGTGAAGCAGTCTTTCAAAAGTTTGCAGACACTCTGTCCAAAATAAGGGTATTGGGTTCTAACTGCTAAACCTGTTCAACCATTGCTGTGTTAGTTGCAGTCATTTTAATGTCAATTTGGAGTGCTGAATTTAACTCTTAAGTCCCAGATAGTTTGGGGCCACTTCATCTCAAGGATTGTTTCATTCCACTTCTACACAACTAATGCCGAGTAATGATGGCATCCCAGCTGTAGAATATTTTTACTACTGTCTGTCATCTACTTTCCATTTGTTTTGATTTCTTAAAGGCCCATTTTGGGAGATTCAAATAGATTGATGTTTGGTTTTTAAAATAAGACCAATTTCACTTGATTCAAAATATATAATGTCACTTGATTTTATATATTGATCAAATCACATTTACATATGTGTGTGTGTGTGTGTAATATTTTTAACACCTTGCATATATAACTCTTTATCTAGAGAGCTTTGGTCAAGAAGAAGTAACAGAAATATCATACTTACATACATAAAATGGGGTATATTGTACAGATCCATATTCATATTAGCACAATAATTTAGAGAAGCAAATAATATCATCTATCAATAATAGTGTTTTCACTTGATCTGCAGCTGACTTTATTCTTTCTGTCAGGGAAGGTAGAGGACACTGATACCATTTTACTTTTGCCAAAGCCCAGAAGATGGCAAGGGGTTCAGAGTCAGCCTTCCATCCTGAATTTCTTTTTTTGCTGTTGCTGCCTCTCTGAGATTGCAGGCACTGATATGAGCAAAGAAATGAAGAACCATCCTTCTTTGTGAGGTTGGGTGGACTGGGTGCAGAGAGAGACTGCAAAAGACAACACTGGTAAAATGGTGGACCCATGGACAATATCTTGCAAGCCCTCCATCCTTGCAAAATGAATAAATAAATAAACAAATGTAAATAACTAAATAAAATATACAGTCAGCACAGATTCCTTATAATGTTCCTTGTTCTGATTGTCTCACTCTTCCTGTAATATAAATTTCCTTACATTTGATATATTTGCCATCACCTTGAATTACAAAGTCCATGTGCAGAACACTTATAGCACATTGATCAGCATTAACTATCACATACCACAATATTTATGATAACGCTTCAAATAAATTTATGATTCAACTTGGAATCAGCTTTAATAAATAAATAATTTATTTAATAAATGTTTAATGGAAAAGTGCTGTACAAAGTTATATTTGCTTCCCAGTTCATTGATTTATAGAAGGTGGGTAAATAACTGAGATACTATAATTTATCTCTCCATACTTTCTTTATACTATTCTTCATTTATCAGACTATAAAACAATACTTGCCTGAAGGATGATACACTAGTAGCTGTTTCTGTTATCAAACTGGTGTAAGGCCTGATACTTTATATTTCTTTATAGAAAAAAAATTCATAAGTATCTGTTTGTTTTCTGGAGCAAACTTGCTTCAAGTTATAGAACACCCAAAAATATAAGATTATACACATACATGCACAATAGGGCTCCTTTTTAATTTTAATTTTACAAATGCTTATAGTCACTTTGAGTCCTTGAAAAGTAGAATAGTGAAACCAACATTTGCAGTAGCAACATCAACAACAAATATTTGTGTGTCACAATCCCGATAGTTAAGCCTTACCGTAAAACAGTTGACTTCACGGTCAGCATACAACTCTTATCATGCCAGTCCATTCTG